GGGGGGTTGCCTGGGGGGGTTGAAGGCTGTCAAGCTGTCAGCTTGTCTCTGTCTTTAGGTGGCACGCTGGCAATAACAGGAACCTACGTCTTGGTGACCTTTGCCCCCCACACGTCCACTCACATTACAGCCCATCTGGTCCAGTTCTGTGTCATCAGCTGGCACTTCCTGCTATACCTTGTATGTAACCTTTTCCATATATATATATATATATATAATGCAATCTTATAAGAACGTGTAAAAGGAGTTCTACTTTCATGATTGAATCCACAGTGTTGATGCCAGTCATTTTATCCTGCATTCAGAAAAAAAAATGGGAAGGCCAATTTGTATTGGTATATGGAATATGAATAACCAATCATTATTGTGATTTTGAAGTTGAACATACATAAGAGAGATTCTGACCTGTTATTACTGGCATATGTACACAGTAGCTTTTTGAGTCTCTATCTTTTCTGCCCGCCTTCTAAAAGGTACAGTAAAGGATAAAAACACACCTGATACGTGTTGATCTACACATCCATTACCTGCGACCCGAATGACAAGGACAAGCGGGAGAGAAAATGGATGGATGGATGCAAGCCATTCACACTCGCACGGCGGTCTTCCCAGTTCAACCTTAGGCATGGATGTCGTAAACACACTGTAGCTGTTACCATAGGGATGAATGCGCTTCTGACACAAGCAACCGTCTATCTCATCCTCTTAACAGACACAGATCAATTCTACCCTGCCAAATCTCCATTTACATTCCAAATTCTCCTTTTATTCCTGCGGGACAATCTATTTACATGCACGTAGTTCTTCAAAGCAGGCCAAGAATATGCCGTAAAACATAAAAGCAAGCAGCGCTCCACGTATTTCAGTCGGTGCTGGGTGTGTGTGCCCTGTGTAGCAAAAGCAGCATTATTCAGCCAGCACCACATGATTCTAATTCACTCGAATCTGCTCCGCTTTGCTTAACTGATGCAAGGAAATATGCAAGGAAATGTTTCAGAAATTAGTGTCATACTGATTGAAGCCGAAATGAACTGCATTGAAAAAAATCCTGCAATGAATACAGACACACACACACACACACACACACACCCAGAGGCATAGGGGTGGTTTGGATTGATCTAAAGGTCAGGTTGCCCTTTTTCCACACCCCACTTTTGTATTCCCCTCTTATACTCCATTTTTCACCACCTTGTGGTGTTTTCTCGCAGCCCTTGAACAGCTGAAAGCTATTGGCTTCACAAGGACACAGCTCTTCTCATTCAAAAACAGCAATTCATTCGCCCAGCCCCCCACAGTCATGGAGATTTGTTTCAATTAAAGCGTGCCGCTCTTTGTCATAGAGGTAAGGTGGTCAGGGAAAGATGGAAAGCAATTGGAACTTTCATTTTCTGTGTGAAGTTTGAGAAAATGCACTGCATAAATTAATCCCCCCCCCCACTCTCCTTTCTCAATAGATGATAGAGGTCATCGCCTTTTGCATCCTGCTCTTTCTGTACAAGAAGAAGAATATGAAGAAAATCGTCATTGTGATGCTGCTGGTGGCACTGCTTGGTATGGACATGTGCACACTTGCTTGATTGAGGGCGCAGGGATCATGAATTGAACCAATATGGGTAGTGCGTTGCTTCGTTACCAAAAAATGGATTTATGGTCACTCGTCATTGATGCAAAGAAGATGTCTGTGCTCAATATTCAACACAAACACGCGAGGTTCATATTAGCCGTGCAACGACATCTTCGTAAAGTGTTATTGTCTTTCTGCAGCCTCTCTTACAGTCATCTCAGTAAAAGCCGTGTCGGGAATGATCACAGAGTCGATAAAAGGCGATCTGCAATTCATCTATCCCATCTTCTACGTTATGCTCGTCGTCATGGTGGTCTCCTGTGCCTTCCAGATCAAGTCAGTGCTGCCTTTCTTTGTGGGATTTCCTTTCTCAAACTTTTCTCTTGGTCACAACAACTCGGATAAATCCTACAAAACAATTACGTCAATCCACCGATGTGTTTTATCTTTATTTTTTTCGAGGATTCCCTACACATGTCCAGTATAATTCTTGGGCTCATCCACAGGTTCCTCAATCAAGCAATGAAAATGTTTGATGCCACAGAGGTGGTACCAATCAACTTTGTGTTTTTCACTGCAAGTGCCATTGTTGCAGGTAGGTGTGTTCATCACAAGCGCATCACTCTGCCGGTCGCTGCGTTTATGTACCGCCCTCCACAGGATTATATTGTATTTGTGCAATCAATTGCGATCTCAAACAGCTTTAAGAAATAGTCGGCGTTTACAAATTGTCACGTAGCGAGGTGGTGGTGGACCCCAAAAAGCAGGCAAGAGGGAGGAGCAGGGTGTACTTGACCAATTGTATTAAAACAGAGAAAACTAAATCCAAAACAAACAAAGTCCAAAGTAACAAACAAAAACCATGGCAGAAGCTCAAAACATATTGACCTAAACATGACTGAAACAAACATGACAGCAGCCAACAAACAGCAACACACAAACAACGACCTGACCATGAGTGGTCGGGCGGGAGTCCTTTTATACTGCTAATTACATAACGACCAACAGGTGTGCAGCTGCAGGGAGAGCCCTACAGTGCCACCTGTTGGTCACAAACAGAATCATGACACAAATTAAATGAATGTAATTGTGTGTGCATATACATACTGTATATATTTGCTATTATGGTAGTACCGGTAAAATTCAAATAAAATGAAAGAATTGACATTCAAAAATATTTTCAACACATTTTTTCAACACCTAACGAGACAGGCGGACGGTATCACACAAATGAGGGTAGTGTGGTGCAATGGTGGTTCGCACATTGACCTCATGATCAAGGGGTTCAAGGGTGAAATCTCAGCTCAGGAAACTTGGAATTCCAACTTCCACCCACCTTCCAAAGACACGCATGTTAGGTTCATTGAAGATATTGTCCATGAACATGAAGTGTGAATGTGTGAGAATGGTCATTTGTCTACATGTGATTGGCTGGCAACCACCTCTCAGCTTTAGACTCGTTCCTCTAGGAGTTGATATGGGATATTTTGTTTTACAGGGATAATCTTTTACCAGGAATTTGAAGGCTTGGCATTACTGAATATTTTCATGTTCCTTTTTGGGTGAGCATTCTCAGTAAAACATCACACATTTTAGCTTACAAAGGAGTAACCGTTTCTACATTGTTTGCAGATGTCTGCTTTCTTTTCTGGGAGTTTTCCTGATAGCCAGAAACCGGCCAAAAGCAAAGAAACAGGATTGCAACTTTATAGCAATGGAAATGGTCCCTGGTAAGCCATCCAACATTTAAATGAAGGTTTCTTTAATTTTATGATTTAAGTTTATGTGAGCCTGAATTGGTAGTAATTAATAAGTTTAGCTTAGAATACGCAGAAGAGCTGAAAAATATACCTCTTTGTTGATATTTTTCACTTTTATGGCAACATTTTCAACTCACTGCTACGAGACATAACGTGTAATTTACTGCTTGGGCCACAGACGCACATTGGACAACAACGAGGACAGAAACAAAAACAATTCCATAATGCGTATCAAAAAATTGCAAGAGGTTGACCAGAAATGGCAAAAAAGGTGCACACTGGCATGTTATTTCAAAATTTGTACAAAAAAAAAATGTTTTGGTGAGCCTCCGGGGTGCGAAAGAAAAGGCGGGCGCGCGTGTGCAGTGTCCATTTCAGCAGAAGAGGAGTTGTTTCCAATTTGAGATGGGACATGCCACACGGGTGACATTAAAAACCAACGCCATGCCGAGTATTTTTAACGAGCAGGAGGTGGGAGATGAGTTTAATTGCCCGAGGGAAGATCTGATGGCCCCTAACATGAACGAAACCGAAAAACAAAGTAGTTACAAGAGTTTGTGAAAAGGGAAGTCAGTGTCTCCCTGACGCTGAGGCAATTGCACACTGCTAACTTCCGGTGATGCAGATCCTGCACCACCGTAGGTTAAAGGTCACCTACTTTTAAATTGTTTTTATTTATTTATGAGAAAGTGAAGCTGATTAGGATATTTAGGGTACAGTTTGCACGAACAAAAAATCTATAACATTAATAACACACAGATATGTACTGGTCGATGGCAATCAACGTTTTGGGCACCCCTGCTATCGATTCATTCCATTCGGCATAGTGTGTGTATATATATGATAGTGAAGTTGACACACGTGACAGTTATCTAGTGACGTGTATAGTAAACATGGTGGGCAGCTATATTATGTTTCAAATATTTTTAAAGTTATTAAATGTACATGAAATGATTTCGAGACCAAATGGCATACATATGTGAATAATCCCTTTTAAGTAAGCAGAGCATTAGCTGCAAGTGACCCACGATTTCTATGACGGCTGAGTGCAGTAGCCCTGCCATCTGCAGTCGAGGCTACATCTAATGAGCTCTCCTGTTTGTGTTGGCAGGAAAGAGATGCACAGACAGAGTGCAGCCTGAGACCAAAAGTCCAAAATATGGATCGCTGGCAGCCAAGTTCATGTGTAACACAGGTGACCAAATAGAAGAGTCTTAAGAGCCCTTCCATCTGTTGATGTGATGATCAAGTGTGTCAACACTTGCCTCCTGCTGGGCCAAACGTGAAGGGGGCAGCACGTTTGAAGACATTCTCTGGGCTCGGTTTATCTGTAAGTAAGATCAATAGTCCACTGCTCCCAAGTGACCTGGAGCTATTACACACTTAGCAACTCCCAATAGTGCAACTTCATGTGACCTGATGTCAACTTGTCAAGATAGAAACTATGCCCAGAACTGAAACAAAGAGGGTTCATCAATGTGCGATGACTGGTACATCAAAACAAAATGTAAAGAGGTGTGCTATGTGTCGAACGCATGTCTCACTGTCTGTGGTTTGACTAAACACGCTAATGAAAACTTGTACCATATGTAAAACATACATTTGACCTCAAATAAACCTCAAACCACATTAAGACCTGAATCTAAAGTTAAGGGTTGCTAGGCAACCAAACCCTTACTTCCCTCCTGCCACCCACACATTATGGGATGGGTATACAAGATTTGCTGTTCAAGTAGGAGTCTGCCTTCTCTCAAAATTGCCTCTGTTGTGTCATATAATGTTAGTGGTAAGTTTTTGTTCCCACTGGTGGATGTGATACACGTAGGCTAAATTGTTGGTACCCATCGCTGAAGAAAGAAAACACAACGGTGGTAACTGAAATACTGTCACTTCTGGGGGCTGTTTGGGGGTGTTATCGAGGACAATTTTACTGTAAATAAATTAAAGTTGGGCATTGGTTTATGATCCAACAGAATGATAAAAACCTGACCTGGATTAAAACGATGGTACCCTTACTTTGTTGCGCAATGTTTTGAAGCAGTCCCCGCAATCAATGATTTGCGAGTCTGATGTTCTGCTTTCATCATTAGTGCGTTTTTCGAGACGTGTTTTGGAGGTCATTCTCCTGTTGGAGGAGCCATGACCTGCGACTGAGACCGAGCTTTCTGACACTAGACAGCACATTTCCCCAGAATGTTTTGATAGTCTTTGTTGTACCCTGCACAGATTCAAGACATCTTGTGCCCATGCAACGCTAGAGCGTAACAAAGTCTGCTCCATGTCTCACAGTAGGTACTTTTTTTTTGTGACTTTTTGGTGAAATAAAGGAAAACTCAACAATAGGCACACAAACTTGAAATTTGAAAAACACATACCTACAAGCCCCACAATAGATGAGTAAACTGGAACTTTCTGGCAGGTCACATCATATCTGCGTTTCTAGGCGCCCCCCCCCTCCCAAAAAAAAGCAGCATACAAACAAGAAAGACCAATATGTATCCTGTGAAACATGGAGGCTCAGTTATGTTGTGTGGCTGCTGTGTTACAACTGTCACGTACGGAATATGACAAATCCCAACATTTGCCCAAGCATTCTGTGCTGACACCGCGGTATATGAGAGGTCAGTCTCCATCACAAATCATGGTCCCACATGTGCTTTTCCATTCATTTCTTTAATAGAGAGGAACAAACTATATACTGTACCATACGTATATTGTAATCGTCCATACAGTCATCTACAGAGGGGGTCTCTTTAAACTAAATTCAAAAATGATCTCCAGAGAGTGGCATTTTAGTGTCAACAAATGTTTACATCAAAAACAGAGTCCATAGAAATCCATATACTGGATGACAACAAATGTATTTCAATACACTAAATGAAAACGGTTTTAGTCTTCATTTTGTTAAGGCCAATTTTCTTGATTCTGTAGATTTGCCTTATGTAAAAAAAATATATTTTTTTATCAGTTTATTTTACAGCACAAATTAAACATGGCATATGGTTTGAGTTCGATCATTGTACAAAGAAAGTATCATGCAACTTTCTTGTCTAGCCGTTCCCCATAAACCTAGAAGAAAAAAAAAAAGGCCTCAAATCAAGCAAGTTCTGCATGTGTTCCACTCAAACTTCGATGTTAATTTTCGCAAAGCGGTACTGCAGAGACATGGGGTTGCGTAGCAGCACCGTTCCCCTGTGTTCCAGAGGCTGACTAATGAGTGTGTGAACCAGGCCAGTGACACTCACAAAGCCCAGAGCCTCCCCACAGCCTGCCGACAGGGAGAAGTCGGCTTGAGTCACCCATCCGAGTGTTACTCGGGAGCAGTGAGAGGTGACGCTCGGTAAGGGATTTGGCCACACTCCCAAAACAACATCAGAGGCGGGACAAGATAGCTGGGGGTCATTCGACGTGGTGGTTATTTGTCCGGAGGTTGAGGGAGTGTCAGAAGCCACTTTCTTGGTACCCTTCTTACCACGCTTGAGCGTGCTTTTCAAGTGATCCCTGTGGGGTGGCTCCTGAGGGGCGCTACTGCCAGGCCCTCCTCTGCTCAGCAGCTTGAGGTCATCTGCGGTTGGCACGGACACCATGGCATGGAGGTCTGGTTTGCCTTTCAACAACAGCGACAGACGTACCCAAACCAAGCTCATCCCATGACTTGCGAGGAATGATTTCTTTGCTGTATGGTCCAGAGGTGGCATTTCCCTGACACAGTACGACCTCTGACCTTGAGACGAAGTGGGTCCGCACCAACTAGAGAGAAGCCTCAATGACTTCCTGGTCCTTGGAAACAAAATGATCGGAATAAAATTTAAAAGGGCACTCTGTTGTAACTGTTATCCTTTGCATTTTACAATCACCAAAACAAATTGTCGCTTCAACCATATTGTACTGGATAACCATTTTGTTGCAAGACACTTTTCTGTGCGTTTCCGGTTCATTGGTCACATTTGTACTCTTTGCCATTACTGATGCCCTTCTTGCCTTTCTATCTGGTGGCATTTGGAAGCATAACAGAAACAAAAACATGTTAATCCATTAGATGCTCACTGAAACAAGGGAGTGCCTGGCAAAGTAGGGCTATGAGATGTTTTGCTGGCCAAAAATAACCCTCATGCAGAGAGAAAACAACTACTTTTTTTTTCTAACCTTTTCTCTCTGTATAAGGGAGGGATGGGCAAGGATCGATGGAGAGTGAGAGCCAGCACGCAATAAATTTTGGTCAAATTCCAAACTGTCCAACCACTGAAACTCTTGACTTCTACTGTCGCTGAGAAAATGGTTGCACAACTTTCTAAATAAATGAATAAAGAAATAAGATACAGCACTAATCTTGTTAGAGCTTCGTGTAGCTTCTTACACCATTGACTATCAGAACATCTTCACGAGATGGGCACATGTAATCAGCATTAACGAAAGTGTGCCATATTGGTTCAAGTCATGTTCATTAGATTACAGTGAGTTTGTAAATATCCAAATAACATGCAAAGTTAAACGAGTCCCTTAAGGGTCTGTGCGAAGGCAGACATTCATCACTGTAAATGCTTCCCAAAGGCAATGTCATTACTAAAGACTCCAAACGCATTATATCGATCAACAAACCTAATAAACTGAGTTATTCAAGCATAGAAATGCCTTGTACGTTCATATTAAACCTCAACAGAATAGAAATTGCATTTGGCACTTTAGAAACCCTCAAAATGAATTTGCTCTGGTCTCGAACACAATAGGAAGCAAACTTTGCATCATCTTTTCAAACAGCCTTTTCCACATACGAAACAGTCAGAATGTGTTATGTGTTGCGTCAACAAGGATGTTCAGATAAAAAGAGACGCACACGCACAACTCATCACTAAGTTGGTCTCGGAGCTAAATTCGAGTCAAGGGACATTCACACATGAACACTGCAATGGTGTGATTCAAAGGTGTGGCATGATAAATGTCAGCAAAGACAACCGCTGTGTACTTCGAGTAAAACCGAGCTTGCTTGTTTGACCGGCATGACACGGGAACCAGGGTGAACATTACATAACAAATTGTCATGAAAAACACCAAATACCTCAGGACAGTGAAGTGTGTTTGCTGCTTGGTCCCAGGGACTTGGTGATGTGACGTTCTCTCGGCCCGCATTGCGATGTCACCCAGTGATGTGCTTTGAGCCTGGATGCCTCCTTCACTTCCAATAACATCCCACTCCTCAGCCAGCTGTTGCCAAGGGCAACTGAATGGAGCCAGGCAGCCATGTTTAATGTAATTGGTTCTTTTGGCAGGCGGCCGTCTAGAATGGAGGGCAAATGGTCAAACCCTAGTCAAACCACAAATCCCCCAATTTATGAGACAAAGTGTGAGTGCTGAGCAGCAGCTAGCAGAGGATGACAATCCCACTTTATTACCACACGCTCATATACATCGGGGAACTATCCACATGGCGAAAAATTGCAATTTCATTCTTTAAGTGACCTTTTGAACTTTTCCAGCAGCTCGGACTCTTGCTCCCCCTGAAACCGGGCCCCTGCAGGACAGTCGGGGTAATCGTGGGGGAAGTGAGGAACGCCTTTATTTTGAGAGTGTGTCAGACTCATTTTTAGTCCACCAATGCGAACATCTCTGTAAACCTGGCAGAGGGACAGAGGCAAGAGAGAAAAAGTAAGCGCTGCATTTGGGGCTTTGGGACGGAAAAACAAACTAAAGCACGGGGGCTTCCGGTTTGCCTTTCATTTCAAGGTACATTTCACATTTTCACAGGCCAAATGAGCAAAACTCTTGAAATACGGACATGCCAAGTCAAGAACATTCTGATAAAGCTATCAAAGTGGGGGATTAAGCTCCCAAGAAAAACAACAGGTTTAAGAAAGCAAACTGTTGTTCCTTGCTTGGCTTTCTATCCCCTTCTCAAAAGGGGGAAATGGAAAAAAACACACAAACACACACACACACACACACACGCACACACACACACACACACACACACACAAAAAAGAGAAGTGTGGCTCCCAGTACTGACCAGTGGGATCCAAAAAGCCATGCCCCAGCCTTTAGGAAGCAACAGGTCCCATCCGGCACCCCAGGAATTCATCTCATGTCCCACCTGCTTGCCAGGCTGGTGAACCAGAAGGATGGGAACACGACCCTGCAGGGGAACAGGGCTAAGCCTGGACCCGGGCACAAGCACCTCGCTCCTCATACGGTTCAAGTCCTGTGAGATGTTAAGGCATAAGTCAGGAAAATCAAGTACTGGACTGGACACAAACTAAGAAAACATCCCATTTTCTGATACCTGCTCTGAAATTTTATTCTCTGTGACATTGTTGCGCACAGACTGTTCCCACAGGAAACTCTCACAACAGTGTTCTGGTACACCGCGCAAAGACAGCTCCTTTCTCTTCTCGTCACCCACCTCTGGAAGAAACATCACACACACACGCACACACACGAGCATGCCCCTGTGTAATCCTACACTTCAACAGATGGGAGAGTCACTCGAGGCTTCTTGCATATCGTGCCATTCTGCGGAAATTTGTCGCTTCGCTTGGTCGTCTTCTAAGAGTGGCAACCTGCCAATTTATGAAATCTTTTCATCTAATACATACATAATTGTGTTAACCCACCTCCTAATGACAACACACAGAATATTCAACGAGTTGAACCTCCAGAATTTTGAAATCGGCGAAGACGGGATTCTAAATGAAAGCCATTTCACTTGGCAATTATCTTATCTGGTTTCATGCTCGCGACAAGAGAATCCATCTCCTCCATAATGAGACTCATTTGAAGCAGATAAGAAGAAACCAAGTGTCTTCCTGTATTGATTGCGCATATTCTACGCTGCTTATCCATTTCTGGGTTGTGACGGAGCTCGGGAGAAAACTGGGGCACACTCTTCTTGCTGCTGTGCAACATTTCTATTATTTACAGAAATGGAAAGTGTGTCATTCTGTTCAAAGCAATGACAATACAATTTGAAAAGGCAGAGCATAAGCCGCCATTTGTCATTGATGCCGTTTTTGGAGTGCAGGGCCCTGCCAGGATTCGAACCTGGAGCATCTGCATGGCTGAGCAGAGGCCCCCCAGGAGCACAGGACCAGAGGTGCACTCTGTGGAACGGCGTCAGGACAGAGACTTATTTGGACCTGCTCTTCTCAACACCTCTTTGCCTCCCATGTAGGTGGACTCATGAAACTGAGCCAAAAAGACTTTCAGGAGGACATACGTACGCTTCTCTACAAATACTTGGTTATCTGGAGCGCCTGCCAACCCATCCAAAGTGAAATTAAACAACCAAGTACCAGTCAATATTTTCTTCAGCCCACTGCATGTACTTTTCTTGTCGCAAGAGATGCGACTAAAAAAAAAAATAATAATAATAAAAAAAAAAGTTGCAGACTGTCTGCCAAACATCTCGCAATCTTTTTGTAAACATTAGCAATCTTGACGAGAACGCAAAATCGGCTACCTTCAGAAATATTATCAATTGTTCGCCGTTCAGTGGTATAGG